TAGTAAATTATTCACTAAGTAATTAGCACAGCTGATGGTGTATTTACAAAGGATACAGAAGCCTAAATCAAGTATAATCTCTATCCTACTCCAAATAAGACAGAAGAGTTTCTCTAGGGATAAACGTGACACACTATCAATTTCTATTTTCTTACCTGTACAAGGTATTTGTGTGCATGCTCATAGGTTGGTAAAGCTCCTTCTCCTATCAGCTCTGTATCAAATAATTCTGTTACCAGGATGTTTGCACGACATTGCATATCTCCATCTAAAAGACACCATTTAATATTGTAATATTAAGACTTTATATGTCTTTCAACAAGATGCCATCCTGAAAACACAAGTAATTAAAAAAACATATTCCTGTTAGAGAACCTGTTGAAGACTGCAAATTATTTTCCTTTAGAAGTTTACTATGAAATACAGATGACTACTGAAATACAATTACAACACTTCCTTTTGAAGTAAATTTCCAATGTTACTTTCTAGAGAGTAAAGGATTTCCTTGTTTTAATTAAAAACATATGGAAAATAAGAATAAGACATATTGCTTCATGGTTTTCAGGTACTTGCCAATTATTTTAACCCTAGCCTATTTTTCTCACCTGGGCCAACTGTGACTTCAGTGGAGTGCTTGTTGATTACCTTGATCTTGTCACAAAAACCATTCTTCTCCACTATCTTCACAGCAGCATTAGCCATGGGCTTGAAAACCTGTAAATAGCAAGAGTGTAACAAACTGGTAAGCTAACATGAGCTTTCAAAAATGAAAGAACACCAACACAAAATGCAGTAAATTTAGTCCTGCAAAAATTTAACATCTTCTGTATCTTCTCCTATGTTTGAAGTTCATTACCATGAAACAAGACAGAAAGCCTCACTTCAAAAATTCACAGAGCTCCAACGTCACTGTTACAAACTGAGTATCAGCTGTCTCCAAAAGCTACTCCAATTTAACTTTTGAAAGACAACAATACACATTAAGAATATTTTAGCATTTACATTAAACAAACTTCTTTATTTTTAAAAATAAAGATATATATGCATCAAGAGAGGCCCCAAGAGACTTATATGTGCTCAAGACATTTAATTAATTAATTAAAGAACCCAAAACAACCAGCACTGAAACGGTCACTGTAGAATGCCAAAAATCTGCTTTTATTAACAGCATAACCATGAAGAGAATTTTTGTTTCCTTCAGAACAAAGAGAAGAATAGAGAGAGTACATAGTTTGAAAATAACAGAATGATTAAGAATGTGTTGAAAGGGCTCAATGTCTATATCCAGTTTTTAAACTCAAAAATTTTAAATATTCTACTCAGCCACACAATCTGACTACTTAAGACAAGACATTCGTGGCCACTTTGGAAACCAGCACAACTCTCTCTGATTGCTTCCTGTGTCTACATGAAAGAGGACTGTCCCTGAAAAATGATCACAGGATAAAATCCTAGATTAAAAAAGCCGTAGATATTTACTTGGCTAAAAATCACACAGCACTCTTTCAACTAAGACCTACAGACAAGTGAATCTTCTCTTTGTTTCTTCAAATGCGTTAAAAAAAGCTAAACCGGCCAAAATGTTCCTGTTATTATCCTTAATATAAGTAACGGCTGCTAATGACCATCAGGATGTTTCTTAATTGCCAATAAAAAAAGGAGATGCTCTATCTAATCACGAAGAGATGGTAAAATCAGTTTATGAGACAGTCTCTTTATTATGATGTAGTCCACGTTATGATTAAGTGGTCTGAGAACCCATCTCCAAGAGGTGAAACTTATGAAGGTCAGCAATATGGTTAGAGAACACTCGCATTTTTTCAAAAACTTGGTTAAAGTTTTCCATATTACACTCGAGTTTTGATAAGAAGTAGAGAAGACAGAATACTATGAAACTTTACTTAGTAATTTTAATCTGTACATTTACAGAAACCGTCCCAAAGATGAAAAATTTACTATACCTTTTCAACTATATTCTTGTAAGACCTAAGTGGTTTTGACACATAAAAGTATCAAGCTTGCACTTCAGAAGCCACAATACAAAATAGCAAATGGATCCACTCCACTGATCATGCAGACAGAACAATTGCACTGAAAAAGAGGCTACAAACACGCATGCAGAACTATGTGCAACCCGTGACAAATGCTTACCTCAATTGCATAGCAGAAATCTGCACCTGCTGAAGCTGCCATCATAGATAGGAGTCCTGTGCCAGTCCCTATATCTAGAACAATTGCTTTCTCACCTCTTTCTTTTACTCTGCTCACTGCAGCACGAATACCTTGGTAATATTTTACATTCTGTGGAGAAGAAAAAAAAATTAAAAAAAAAAAATCAGCAGCCTTTTGTCCCTTTATACTTTTAATTTTTGTGCAGAAATCTTGCATTCTCCAACTATGAGTTTATAATTAGAAAAAGGCCTACAGACATTCTTTATGCTATACAGTCACACCAAAGCCATTTTCAGCAAAAGCAAGTGTTTTTGAAGGGATCAGTCCATTTAAAGTTCATCAATTTTTATCACAATATTCACATCGTCATTGATCAGTCAGCTATTTAGAGCGCACGCATGATTTACAAATGCAATATATTTTCTGGAGCAACTAATAATAAGATCTATGTGAGACACTACTGTTTTTCTGATTACTTTTCCCCTGCAGCACCACTCAAATAGTCGTATTGTGCCTATGACAGCACAAGAGCTAAAGTAACTTGGATTTAGATTCCTCTCTACATCTACTGAAAAACATTCGTACATGAGAAGCAACGTGTAAATACTGGCTTTTGGTTATGTGCCATTAAGTGGGGCTACAAACATACCAGCATTAACAACAGGAAAAAAACCAAATGCTGTCATCTGTCAGCTACAGTACACATATATTAATAAGTGTATGCTTATATTTACTCCATAACAGCCTGTTGTAAGACATTGCTTTCTAAATGATTTATCAAGCCTTTCCAGAGAATACACTATCTTTGAACATTATAAATTTGGAAGGTTTGCTGGATCCCTTTCCGAACAATTCTAGTTAACACTTTTGATGTGTAATTCCAGTAGAGTTGTTTTAATTGCTTAAGACACAACTTGCTGTCTCTACATGGCTTATTAAATGCCTGATCCCACTGGTGTGTTTCAATTCAATATGAATTCAAGACTTACAGTGTAGGCACCATAAAAGTCCTTAAAAAGGTTATTGATGAAATGGTTGACTAAATGGCTAGAGCAGAAAGAACGTTTAAACCATTCACTCCAGACTTTATCATGCCTGTAGATATGGTATCTCAATTTTCTTCTCAATCCTAAGCAGTAAATAAGAGCTAAAAATACCACAAAAGAATAAAGACAGACTTTACTTACATTCCTATAAAAACTAAGAAGCCTAGATTCACATTTACAGCCTTTGAAATTTCATCTAATGAGCGCTCTCTGTCAAAAATGTCAAACTTAGAACAGCAAAATCAGCTGTAAAAATTGCAGTAAACAACAGAACACTAGAGTCAGATGTAAGAAGGCATCTGTTGATCTAAGAGCAGGTCTGGTATCTTAAAGGGCACAAATTTCATCATTTCATCTTTCAGAGAAACCTGTATAATCACGCAGTGACAACTATTTAAGAGAAAGGAAATGGCTATTTTCTCACCATTCCAAAGTTTTTTGCTTCTATACTTACTCTGTCTTTATCGTGAAGCATATCTGCATAGCGTGATCTACAATAAAAAAAATTCCAGTCAAAATACTACATACCGCAAAGCGCAACAAAACTGCTAGATCTTATATAGCCTCCTCTGTTTTCTCTTACTAAGGCAACTGGTCCTTATGGCCCATAAATGCACAGATAACTGACATGCTCTTTGAGGATCTGAACTGTTTCCCAAATCTAAGGAATAATGTCATTTCAGTGATCTGGTCATCAGCATAAAAATGAACTAATTAACTGCTGGCATATATCCTCTCTTCAGCAATGGACCTATGGACGAACAGCTGTGAAATAATAGCTGGGACACATGGAGGTTCATACAGAGCAACACACAGCAATGAAAGACAGCCTACTAATGAACTATCATTTGTTACCAAGATTTAAATTTCTTTGGTCCCCATTTCTTCATGGGTTGCACTACTTAAAAATACCCCAAAATCTAATCTTCCCAGTTTCTCTGTCCGTTACATTAAGCTCTTAAAAAGTTACTACAGGAACAGACAACTGGCAATTATTTGTTGCACTGGAGATTTAAAAATTTAGTCAACGTATTTTGCCACAACTCAGTCACTGTCAGCATTAAGCACCTCAGAAAATGTTTAAAAAAATTCAGAAGAAAACTACTTGGCGAATACTTTACAAAATTCTACATTTACAGTTCTGCCCTGTACAACACAGGGTATTGTAACATTTAGACTGTCCTACAGTCTGTTCATCTCATGCCTTTGGAACTTCTACAGAGATAGAATGTTGGGTCATAAAAAGTTGGGTTTGCTCTTTTTTGTAGCTTTAGTGGAACAACAAGCTATTTTTTGCAGTATACCTTGCGATTTCCTGATGGTAGTCATAGTTCTCATCCTCTTCTAACCACTCCATTGCACCAGTGGTTGGATTAGCTCTTCCACAAAAGGTCTTCATGATCAATCTCAATTTGTGTTATTTATGTATTATGTGCAGTTTTGCTCCTTTGGCTTCAGTATAATACTCAAAATACTGGCTGGGGAAAAAAAAACATCAATCTCATTGTGTTATTTATGTATTATGTGCAGTTTTGCTCCTTTGGCTTCAGTATAATACTCAAAAAACCTAAAACAACAGGACACCACTTTAGCTCTGGATACATATATATACTTTCCCTATTACACCTGCCTTGGCCAGAAGCACTGGTGACTACCTTGCACTTTTTCTGTAAGAATGTTGTAAGCTCAAATCTGTCACCCAGCCCTCCTCATGAACTCAGCCCGGAAAAAAAAAAAATCATCAGTAAAATTCTCAAGGAAAAACTCCCCCCGAGGAGAAGCATGTCGGGTGGGGGAGGCCAACCACCCTCTCTAGGGGGTCCCCACACCCCGAGGAGGGACCTGCAAACGCTGGGCAGCGGCACAGCCGAGGCGGACACCCGCC